GGCCATCAGAGAAATGCAAATCAAAACCAAATACATACTCACCACCAGTTAGAATGGCAATCATTAAAAAGTCAGGAAACAACAGGTGCTGGAGAGGATGTGGAGAAATAGGAACACTTTTACACTGTTGGTGGGATTGTAAAGTGGTTCAACCATTGTGGAAACCAGATGGGCGATTCCTCAAGGATCTAGAACTAGAAGTACGGTATGACCCAGCATCCATTACTGGGTATATACCCAAAGGATTATAAATCATGCTGCTATAAAGATACATGCACACATATGTTTATTGTGGCACTATTCACAATGCAAAGACTTGGAATCAACCCAAATGTCCATCAGTGACAGACTGGATTAAGAAAATGTAGTACATACACACCATGGAATACTATGCAGCCATAAAAAAGGATGAGTTTGTGTCCTTTGTAGGGACATGGGATGCAGCTGGAAACCATCATTCTCAGCAAACTATCGCAAGAACAGAAAACCAAACACCGCATGTTCTCACTCATAGTGGGAACTGAACAATGAGATCACTTGTTGACTCGGGAAGGGGAACATCACCACACCGGGGCCTATCACGGGGAGGGGGTGAGGGGAGGGATGGCATGGGAGTGCTATACCGAATGTAAATGACGAGTTGATGGGTGCTGACGAGTTGATGGGTGCAGCACACCAACATGGCACAAGTATACATATGTAACAAACCTGCACATTATGCACATGTACCCTAGAACTTAAAGTATAATAATAAAAAAAATTAAAAAAAAAAACAAAACTGAAAGTAAATTATAAATGTCAGTGGGAAGATTAAATCAAATATGGTTTGGCTAAAATTTACCACGTTTTCCCCATATTATAATATAAGTAAAATTAGATGCCTTTAAAGAATGGAATGATCATATCTATACATAATTTGAGATTGAAATAGTTTCAGATTTAAGTCAAATTGATATGAAGAAAAACAAAATTGTACCAACTAAGATATATTTAAAGCTACTGAAGAAAAATAATTATGAAATAGGGAATACACTTCAGTTCATCTGGGAAATCTGAAATTAACTGTGGAAGTACCCCACTTAATTGAATCAATTTCAAAATACCATTTTAGGTATGAGCATTTCCATATATCTGATTTATCATGGTCTTGAAATGTCTTGAAATGAAAAAATTATTATTTCAGCAGTATAAGACTACATTATTAATATTAGTCTACATTAACATTTTATAACTTAAAATTGTATAAGTGACACATGAATTTAATCAGAGGAAAGAATCTCTCAGTTTTAACTTTGACTTGCTGGAAACAAGGAATGTTTCTCAGCTGATATAGCAGATACATTTATCATATGTATCCTTTTTTATATTCAACTAGATCCAACATTTAGCTGTAACCAAATATTACTTCAAATTTTACTTCAGGAAGTTTGAAAAATACTTATTTTTCTTGACACTTACTTCTCTTTCTGCTTTCTCTTTTTCATTTTGGCGTGCTTTTTCTTTCAAATGATTCAATTCATTGACCAACCTCTTACTGTCTTCTTGTAATAAAAGACGGTGCTTTCTGCACTCAGCTTGAAAGTTTTGTACTCTAGCATCACATCTGGCTTGAATATTAAGTATTGCTTTTTCTCGATTGTCAGCTTTGTTGAGAGCATCATCCAGTTGCTGTTGAAGTAACATATTTTGTTTTTTTAGTTGACAAAATCTTTCCTGCTTTTCTATGCATTTTTCCATTTTATTATATTCATTTTTGTACATTTTTTCAATGTCCTTCATTTGACACTGTTTTTGGTTTAGTTCTCTTTGTACATGTTCAAAAACCAAAGACTTTTCTTTCAGAGCCTCTCTTGTGTAATGGAGCTCAGTTTCGAGGACTCTGAACTTACTCTCAGCTTTAGAAAGTTGCTGAGAAAGAGTCAGAACACAAGAATTCGAATTTTCCTGTAAATGACACCATTTATCTACTGTGCCCTGGAAAGCAAGCTCTTGGTCTCTTTCTGATGAGTGACTTTGATCATGATCAGATAGAGGAGCATTCAGTCTACAACGGTATGATTCCGTTTCTGTTTCCAGTCTTTGCCTGGTCTGTGTTTCCTTCTCCAGTTTGGAACGGAGCGTTGCGTTCTCATCTGTCAGAGCAGCAAGCTGTACACTATAATCAGCTATCGTTTTTGCTAATGTTTCCCCATTCCGTTTTAGAGTCTTTTGAAGGTCTTCATGCTTTCTTTTCATAATTTCAAAGTCTTTTAAGTATTTCTTTTCCAGGTTTTGGTTTTTTATTGTGTCTATTTCCAGTCTAAGCGTGGCAATTTCATCTTCCATCAAGTGGTTTTCATGCAGCAGGTCTTCTTTTTTATCAGTATCAGAAATCTGTTTCTAAGTAAAACAAAGAAAACTTATAACTAGTACCCAATAGGATAACATATTGTGATTGCTTTTGAAATTAAATAATAACCTGTGCATTTATACAATGAGAGGGTTGCCATAACTGGATATCTAACTGGGAAAAAAGAAGTTGAGTCAAAACCTCAAACCTCAAAAAGCATTAATTCCCCAAAGTTTGAAAGTTTATTTGAAGACAGTGAATCCATGAAAGCAAAAAAAAAAAAAACCACTAGAAAATTTTTTTAAATTTCAGAATTAAAAAAGGCTTTTACTGAATTACAACAAATTGCAAAGCATAAAGAATTAATAACTATGATCACGTTAAAAAATTGGGTTTACACTCTAACATCTAAGCTATACATCTCCCTATAGTGAGAGCCTTAGCCTGGCAGATATTTGGCCAGATGAATGACATTTTCCAAATTCTTTAACTTCCCTTTTCCTAAAATATTGTATAGATATTCTACTTTTCTAATATTGTTATGGTCAGTTTTAAGAATGACATTTATTGATAAATGATAAGTCTAGACATTGTACTAAGCACTTTTACATGCACAAATCAATGAACTCATTTAGTTATAATTCTATAGCAAAAGGTTAAAAATATAAGCAAGCTGCAGGACTTTTTCCAGCTTTTCTGACTCTACTTCTAGTGCTCTTCCACCAAATCAGTTACTTCTGTGAGGTAGATATAGACATACAAAAATAATCTTTTATTTCAAAACACCAAAAGTCAAGAAAATTAAGTTTATAAAGCTCTTCCTAGAAAATCATGAGATTATTTGCTATTGTGATCACTTTTATTTCTTTTCCATAACATTTGAAACAGTAATTAACATGAAATAGGGGAAAATATGCTGAATTATGTCACTAGGAACAAAATACTTACAATATCATTAAGTATACATTATAGAATAGCATTGTTTTCAAATGGTCTTTGAACTAAAATAAAATATTTCAAGATTATAAATAATTGTAGCTATAAATTCCTTGATTCATTTTTAAGATGAAATACAATTTGGGGTTTTTTTAGGCTTAAATAATATACATTAAATGAAAGAGATATTATAAGTAACATTAAAAAAAAGTAGAAAGATGAAGTTTTACCAAACCTGATTTGAATTCTTTCCTACACTCTTCAATTCCATCTCCAGTGATTTGAGAGCCAGTTTAACTTGTTCTGTCACATCAACTTCTATCCTATGTTGCTCTTCTGTTGTTCTTAACTTTTCCCGAACTTTTTGGTGCAACTCTTCAGCATTTCTTCTTTTCTCTTTTTCTTGCTGTATGGCAAATCTGTAAATATACTTATCTTAGTATTTATTTTATCAGTGAGGAGTAAGCTTTAATTTTTTATCTTGTGCAAATTCCTACCTAAGGGGTACCATGGATTCTCATCAGATGGATTTTATTTGACCCCGTATATTGTGACTTGCTTTTCAATCTGACTCTGGCATAACATTATGAGACAAGGAAGCAAATATTTAATCAAAAATATATTTCCTTGCCATACCTTGAAATTGCCCTGCAAAGTCTCTTGTGGGAAAAATCCACATTCTATAGAGAACCCCCTTTTCCCCTTTGTTTTCCTTCCTTTCTATGAAGATCCAGGAGACAATCAGCTAAGAGCCAGGCACCCTTTTTAAAAGGTCCCATAAGAAAACATTTTACAACCTGCTCTCTCTGAAGTCTGCTGAGAGATTCCTCTGCACAAGAAAACTTGGTCCCCACAATCATTTACCTTAACCTGAACATTTCTTTCCATTAATCCCAGGTCTTCAAATAAACTCAACCAATTGTCAACCAGAAAATGTTTAAATTTATCTATAGCCTGGAAGCCCCTGCTTTCAGTTGTCCTGCCTTTCTGAACCAAACCAATGTATTTTTTAAATGTATTTGATTGATGTTTCATGCCTCTCTAAAATGTATAAAACCAAGCTGCGCCCCTTGGGCACATGTTCTCAGGACCTCCTGAGGGCTGTGTCAGTGGCCATGGTCACTCATATTTGGCTCAGAATAAATCTCTTCAAATATTTTACAGAGTTTGACTCTCTTTGTTGATATTAGAAAATAAAACATTCATATGTTGCTTATTATCCTAATAAAGTTTCTATGTTCTTAAATACTATTTTTCTTTCTAGTTCTCATGTTTTTAATTTCTCACCTCAATCTCATCCAAAGGACATGTATAAGTTGAAATGTACTGACAAAAGAACACCCTGCATAAGTTTCTGTTACTTGTAACTCTAGCAAATATTACGAAAAAAGATGCTGAAAATTATTCAGTAAAGTTACAAGATAAAAATTACCTTTTCTTCACATAGTAATTACTTTTCAATTAGGATGAATCGTTTAGAGTTAATTAACATAAAGTAACTTTTTATAAACAAGTTGATACATTCACTAGAAATATATTTCCACCTTCATGAAACATTCATTGCAAGTATCTCCAAACTAATTTACATTGTAAGGTAGCACTTTTGATGTGTTTATGAAATATATATCAGCAGATTAGTGTAATCCAAGACTAGGTTAATAATGTAATATGTTACCCCCTACACTTTTTAAGATTGTTTTTTTGGGCAACACTTTCAATCTATCCTGTTGATTAGTATGTATTTTATAAACAATTTTAAAATCTGTTTTGGAACAACACAAGATCTAATATTTAATTAAACAATAAAGAATAATACGTGTCTTCAGCATAAAACTTTGAATTAATTTTATCTACATAGCAGAGGGATGTTGAATAAGCTAATCAGTAAACACTTTTCATTTTACTTTTTATTCCCTGCATATTAAGAATAAAACTCGATAATTTTTTTTTTTTTTTTGACAGGGAGTCTCGCACTGTCACTGGGCTAGAGTGCAATGGTGCAATCTCAGCTCATTGCAACCTCTGCCTCCCAGGTTCATGGGATTCTCCTGCCTCAGCCTCCTGAGTAGCTGGGATTACAGGTGCACACCACCACGTCTGGCTAATTTTTTGTATTTTTAGTAGAGACAGCATCTCATTATGTTGGCCAGACTGGTCTCAAACTCCTGACCTTGTGATCTGCCCACCTCAGCCTCCCGAAGTGCTGGGATTACAGGCGTGAGCCACCGCACCCGACTGATAATTTTTAAAATAATTATTCTGGATAAAGAAAATATCTATTTTATACCCTGTTGATTGAATTATAAATTAATATAAACTTTCTTAAGAACAATTTAGAAATATCGATCAAAGATCTAAAACAGATCTAAAAAAGTTTCTGTACTTTAACCAGAAGAATTTATCCAAAGTAAATAATTAAAAATGTAGAAAACTACGTGTAAATAAAAGATGTTCCTTGTAGCATTAATACAAAAACTTTTTAAAACCTAAAATTCAATTCATCAATTAAATAATGAGATTTCCAAAGGGTAAAATCCTATACAGCCATTAAAACTATGATTTAAAAGAACATGCATTTAATTATTAGAGAAGTATTCACAATTAAGAACTTGTGATATTATATCCAATAATTTCACACTCCATAAGATTAAGAAACTTTTTTCCCTGTAAATCCTAGAAGGAAAGTTAGCAATTACAAAAATTTTCCTTATACGTCTTTAGTATAAAACAAATAGTTCTAACATTTCTTTAGAACAAGGTCATACCTCACACTACAGAGTTCTTGTTCGCATTCAAGTTTTTCATGCTCTAAGCACGATTTTATTTCTTCTTTTTCAGATAGTCTCTTCTGTAGTACACTAAACTTATTTTTCATTTTTTGAATTTTTACTATAAGTCGCTCACAGTGATTATCTTTAAGTTTTATTGATCTTTTACAAAAACAAAATGCATTTTTAATTTTTGATAGGCGAACACAATCTGTAACCGGGAAAAAACAAAATAGAGATAAAATACATGAGTAAGTTTTTGGATACAAAGGACTGTGCATTTTTAACATGCATTCATTCATATATTGAACAAATATGTACATATTGAGTGCCTACAAGGTAGAAGATATTATACTAAGGTCTGCAGATAAGACAACACCTCTGCTATTGTTTTAGCTTAAAGCATAATGAAGAACCAAGATAAAAAGGTGACAATTATAAACTCAGACAGGTCCTGTAAAAAAAAAAACCATAGTTATATGACTGCATAAGATAATTTGATCTATACTTCACTCAGGGAAGATTTCCCTGAAGAAGAGATACTACACTGAGAAATGAAGGATGAGAAAGAAGCAGTTAGGCAAAAAGGAAAGCAAAACACCCTGGCCAGTTTACAGCATGTGCTGTGCCGAAGCTCTGTTGCAATCTATTACTAGCTCTGATGGAGTAACGGACAGGAGTTTTCATCTTACCTGAAACAATAAAAAACAAAACAGACAAAATACATTAAGCAATGATTTCCAACACAGTGGGCTTCAGGCAATGAAGATGGTAGGTGATCACTGTAAGACAGAAAACATATATAGCAGGCCTTACAATTGTCCCAGCTCTTTTGACAGAGTTTTGACAGAGGTTCAAGGCCATGACAAAGGGAGAAAATCTGACATAGAGCTGGGGTTATGAAGCTGAGAGGCTAGTAAAACCAAAGCAGATAGAGATCACAGGACTGAAAACTGGAGAGAATAAAGCAGTACAGGAAACAAATCCTGGAGATGTGCAGAGATTCCCTCTTGGGTATTTAGTGGAGTAACGAAAAATGCTTGTGTGCTAGGAAACTTCCTAAGAACAGTGGAAAATAAAATTTAAAAGAAACAGTTAAAGAAAATCAGCAGAAACTATGCCTGGGGTTCACACAATGACTGGAAGAGAGTCCATTCCCATGCGCCAGGCCAAAATACCTCATACTTCTCATACTTCACATGACAATGAATATTCAGAAAGGTCTTGCCTCAGGAGTGAGGAATTACCCCAAATCTAAAAGCAAGAATGGAAAGATTATAAGTAAATCTCTGTACTCCAAATAAAACTCAAGACAGTAAGTGGAGTCAGGGAAGGTATTTTTTTTTAAAAAAAAAAACCAGATCATACTTGTGGAGATGCAAATTACATTGTCAGAAGTAAAAACTATAGTGGATGGAAATAAACACAAATTAGAGATGACAAAGGAAAATATTCCTAAATTTGACACAATAAACTGTGAGAAACTTTCAAGCAGCTAATCGATAACTCCCTGAATAAAAAAAGAAGAGATAGAAAAAAAATTAAAAGAAAAAATGGCCAAAAATATTCTAACCTTAATACAAACCATAACCCCACAGATTCAGGAAGGAAGTATCTGGGACAGAAAAAACTGAAAATGTATCATTGTCATTTTTTATACCATCTATGATGTATAGTATTACTGAAGGTGGACTGTGATAAGTTAAAATTATATACTAAAAATCCTAAACATTAATATAGCAAAACAGTTATCCCTAATAAACTCCAAAATATATGCAAAATTGAATCATAATAAATAGTTGACTAAAAGAAAGCAGAAAAAGAAGGGGAACAAAGAACAGCTGGGACTAATAGCAATCAAACAGCTACTAGACAAACATAACTATTATCAATGACATTATAAATGACACTTGTCTAAGAACCTCAACTCAAATGCAGACTGTCAGGCTCAGTAAGAAAGCAAGACCCAACTACAGGCTGCCTATAAGAAATGCACTTTAAATGTAAAGACACAAATGGTTACAAGGATGGAAAAAGATACATGCTAACAGTTGCCAAGGGCAGCTGAGCAGGAGTGGACTGTGTTAATACCAAAGTAGATTTCATAGCAAAAACAAACAAACAAACAAAAAAAACCAGCAATAAATAACAAATGGTCATGTCACAATAGTAAAAGGTTCAGTTAATCAACAAAACCTAACAATCCTAAGTGTTTATGCACCTAATAACAAACCAGCTTCACAATATATGAGACCAAAGTGGATAGAACTACAAAAAGAAACAGACAATTTCTAAGTAATCTGAGGTTTCAATACCCTTTACTCAGTAACTGATAGAACAAGAAGGCAGAAAATCAGCAAGAATAGACTTGAACAACAGCACGCTTTTCAAGTACCCATGGAACACTTACCAAAAATAGATCATATTTTAGGCCATACAACAACTCTCAACTAAAGGGTTGAGTCAGAAGGATTTAAGTCATACAAAGTATGTGCCCTGACCACAAATCAATCAGATTAAAGACCAATAACAAAAATAACTCTGGGAAATACTCAAATATTTGGAAACTAAGTAACACACATCTAAATAACCCTGGGTCAAACAGGTAATGAAAATGAAATAGAAATTAGAAAATATTCTGAACTGAATAAAAATTTGTCAACCAGAATTTGTGGAATGCAGCTACAACTGTACTTGAATAGAAATTTTTAGCACTGCCAAATTTCTATATTAGAAGAGTCTCAAATCAATGACCTTGACTTCTACCTTAAGCAAGTAGATAAAAGAAGAGTGAATTAAATCCAAAGCAAGCAGAAAAAAGGAAATAATAAACATCTGCTGTGGTCTGAATGTTTGTCTTCCCCAAAATTTATATGCTGAAAGCCAATCACAATGTGACGGTATTAGGAGGGGTGATTTTTACATGAGCCAAGCCCTCATGAACAGAATTAGTGCTTAGTGCTCTTATACAACAGACCCCAGATCTCCTTCACCCCTTCTGCCAAGTGAGGGCGCAGAGAAAAAGAATTCATTCATGAACCAGGACATGTTCCCGAACCATACACTAAATCCGACAGCATTTGAATCTTGGACTTTGCTGACCCCACAACTGCGAGAAATCAACTTCCGTTGTTTGACCCAGTCTATGGTATTTTGTTATACTGTTGGTTTCAGAAGAAACGATAGAAAAAAATCAACACAAAACACTTTGAGGAGATCAATAAATGTGATAAAGCTCCATTTAGCCAGGCTGCTCAGAAAAAAAGAAAAAATACAAATTACGAATTTCAGAAATAAACAAAGTGACATTATTATAGATTGTACAGATACTAAAAATATAACAAGATATTATAATTTCTATGTAAGTAAACATGACAACTTAGATAAAATTAACAAATTCCTTTTAAAATGAAAATTAGCAAATCTCAATCAAGAAGCAATAGATAACCTGAAATGCCCTATATCTATAAAAGAAAGTTAAGTTATAGTTAAAAACCTTGCTAAAAGAAAACTCCAGACCCAGCTAGCTATGTTGGTGAATTTTACAAAACATTTCTGGAAGAAAATAATACAATTATACACAAATTCTCCCAAAAGAAACAGAAAGAAGAGTATATCTCAACTCAGTCTGTAATGTTAGCATTACCCTGAACCAAAACCAGAAAATATTACCAACAAGAAAATTCCCTCATGAGCATGAATGTAAAAATTCAACCAATTTGTGATGCAACAAAGATATCTTCCAATAGTGGAGTGAATAAACTGCGGTTAAACAGCCATACGGTGGAATATCACTCTACACATAAAGAAATGAGAAATCAATTCATGAAAACATGTGAAGGAACCTTAAATGCACATTACCAAGTGACGTAAGATAATCTGAAAAGGCTACTTACTGTATGATTCCAACTATATGATCAGGAAAATGCAAAACTATGGATAAAGTAAAAGTGTGCCAAAGGGTGAGAGACAGCAGGAAATGATACATAGGCAGAGCACAGAGGATTTTTTGGGAAGTCAAAATAATTTCTATAACATGGATACACATCATTGTACCTTTGTCCAAACCCATACATATACAGTACCACGAGTGAACCCCAATGCAAATTATGGGCTTTGGGTAATTGTAGTGTGTCAATTTAGGCTCATCTGTCATAGCAACGACCACTATGGTGAAGGATACTGGTAATGAGGGAGGCTACACATGTGTTGGGGTGGGGGTATACAAAAAAAAATCCGAACCTCCCTCTCAATTTTGCCAGGGTCATAAAACTGGTCTAAAAAATAAAAGTCTTTATAATAAATTCTAAATGAGACTTTAGTAAGTTTAATCCAATAGTATAATAAAAAGGTAATACATCATAAACAAAGGGGGTTTATTCCAGAAAAGGAAAGGTTGGCTTAACATTGAAACATCATCATTATTTAGCATAAAATGAACTAAAAGAGAAGACCCACAGGATCATCCCAACAGATAGAGGCATCTGATAAAATTTACTCCTGATATTTCAAAGAAGAAACACTCTCAGCAACATAAGAATCCAAGGGAAGTTCTTCAGCATGATAAAAACGTCTATGATGAATCTGCAGCTAACGTGCATCATAGTGAAAAACTGAATGCATTTCCCATAACATGAGGAACAACACAGGAATGTCTGCTTTCACTACTTGTATGTAATATTGTTCTGAAGATTCTAGTTAATGCAGTCAGGCAAGAAAAAGAAATAAGAGGCGTCCAGGTTTAAAAAAAGAAATAAAATTGTCTTTATACACAACTGTGACCATACAACAGGTATGGGTAAACCTCAACCTGTGGGCCAGCTTCTTGTCTATGTCAATAAGCTTTTACTGGAACACAGCTGTGTTCATTAATTTATGGATGGTCTATGGCTGCTCTCATACTAAAATGGCAGAGTTTATCAGCTGCAAAAAAGACCCCTTTACCACAAGTCTAAAATATTCACTATCATTAGTAAGAGGGTAATTTGAGAAAGAAAGGTTTAATAACTTTTTGTCTGTGAAGAAAATCTGATCAAATCTACCAAGAATATGCCAGAACTAATAAGTGAGTTTAACAAGATTGAAAGATACAAATTCAATATTGAAAAATTAACTGCATTTCTATATGCTAGCAATAAACAATCAAATCAAAATTTTAAAATTAGCATTTTCTATAGTTTTATAAAAATGTATATTTGGATTAGCAATGCTCAACCTGTATAAAGTCAAATACATCTATACTAACTAAACTATCATTTACAACTTCATCAAAAACGAAATACAGATAAATCTGATAAAATATGAAAAGACCTGTAAACTAAAAACTGCAAAATACAACTGAGAAAATTAAATATTACTTCTATAAAAGCAGACATACACTTTATTGAGTAGAAAGATTCACTATTGTTAAGATGTCAGTTCTCCCCAAATCTATAAATATGACACAATCCCAACTTAATTTCCAACAAGCAAGCAGTCTTTATTTTATTGATAAGCTGATTCTAAAGTTCATATAAAAATGCAAAGGATCTAGCATAGTCAAAACAGAACAAAGAACAGAATTGGAGGATTCATTTCAAGAATTACTATAAATCAACAGTAACCAAAACAGTGTGCCACAGGTACAGGCTGAGTATCCCTTATTCAAAATGCTTCAGACTAGAAGTTTTTCAGATTTTGGATTTCGGAATATTTGCACATACATGATGAGATATCTCAGGGATAGGACCCAAGTCTAAACACAAAACACATTTATTTTTCATATTTACTTTATACACAAAGACTGAAGGTAATTTTAAACAATACTTTTAATAATTTGGGACATGAAACAATGTTTGTATACATGAGGTCGGATGTAGAATTTTTCCGCTGTGGCGTCTATATTGGCAATCAAAAAGTTTGGGGTTTTAGAGCACTTCAGATTTGGGATATTTAAATTAGCAATGCTCCACCTGCATAAAGAAAGTCAAATACAGAAAATCCCCAACTTAAGGTGGTTTGACTTATTGACTTTACAGTGGGTTTACTGAAGTATTAAATTGCTTTTGACTCAAACACTGGGTTTACCACAATTTGAGGAGCATCTGTAAATTAATAAAACTCAATAGAGAGTCTAGAAATACATAACACATATGCAACCAGCTTATGTTTGACAAAGGCAGCATGGCAATGCAGTGGAGAAACGATAGCCTTTCAACATGTGGTGCTGGAACAACTGGCTGTCCATATCCAAAAAGTGAACTTGAATCCATACATCACCTTACTCCATATACAATAGGAAACTCAAAAATGGAGCATAGATTTCAATGTAAGATCCAAATCTATAAAATTTCTAGAACAAAGCATAGGAAAAAATCTTTGTAACCTTGTGCTAGGCAAACATTTTTTACATATGGCAAAAATGCAAAATCTGTAATTCAACAAACAATTAAATTGGACTTCATTACGATTAAAATCTTCTGCTCTTCAAAAGATACTACAAAGCAAGTGAAAAGTCAACCCAAAAACTGAAAAAAAAATACCCTTGTAAATGACGAGTTGATGGGTGCTGACGAGTTGACGGGTGCAGCACACCAACATGGCACAAGTATACATATGTAACAAACCTGCATGTGATGCACATGTACCCTAGAACTTAAAGTATAATTTTTTAAAAAAGTAGCTAAAAAGTAATAGTATCCAAATACATATAGAATTATTAAAACTCAACAGGTAAGAAAACATCAACCTAATTTTCTAAATGGCAAAAGATTTGAAAAGACAGTTCAACAAAGAAGATATACAGATGGCAAATAAACATGGAAAGATGCTCAACATTTTAGTCATTAGGATCGTGTACATTAAACCCACAATAATATACATAATACACCCATCAGAATGACTAAAATTAAAAAAAAAATACAGCACTACTGTGACAACATAGCAACTGGAATGGTCATTTACTGCTGATGAGAATAGAAAATAGTACAAATATTTTGGAAAATCATTTAGCAGTTTTTCAAAACAGGAATATAAAGGGCCATGAGGAGACTTTAGTGGGTGATGGATATATGTTGCCTACCTTGATGATAGTAATAGTTTCACGTGTGTATACATCTGTTAAAACTTATCAAATGGTACCTTTTACATGTGTGCACTTTATCACATATCAGTTACACCACACTAAAGCTACCGATTGTAGAAGCAAACACCTAAGGCACTGGCTGTGACACAGAAAAGGGTATGCAACGATGCAGTATAAAGTTCGAGGATGGAGATCTGTACCTTATAGCAATAAATGGCAGCTGGGTTTTCAGCAAGCAGGTAACATGATCAGATGTGATTTTTTACAACTATATAATTAGGGTTGCAGAACAGGTCATGGTTTTGGAAGGCAGAATAGTAGGAAAGACAGTTATAAGGTTATCACAGTATTTCAGGTGGGAGGAAATGGTAACTTGACCATGGGTAAATGGGTAATGGCATAGAAGAGAAGTAGAGTAAACAAACACAATTGGGCCTGCCATTCACACTGAGAAAAGTACATTGAAATGATTATAGCTCTTTGACTGAAAAGGTACAAGACACAGTAGTTTTTATTCTATGTTGACATAAGGCATATTTCTGAGATGAACATTCTTGTAACATATCAGTACTGTATGGTACAGTGGTAAGCAATGTGTGCATACATTGCTATAGGATTAAAAAAGCCTTATATTTATGCATTGGTCCTACCTTTACACTTCATTTCATGTTGATCAACGAGTAATATAACTTTCTTACAATTGCAGCAAAGCAAGTCATCCTCTGAGGCTATTTGAGATGACTGAACTATGTCATCAAGGTCATCCCTAGAATGTATTTGGTTTTTCACCTAGAAAATAAACAACACTGTTTCAAAATGTCCCCAGAATATTTATAGCATATACTAAATGTACAGAAGTGGGAATTACCCATCTGTTTATATGAGCACAAACACAGGTGCTTGTTCTGTACTTTTTTTTAAAAGAAATTTCCTTTATGTTGACTCTAGTTCAGCAGGTCACATGGTCTACGGAAAAATTAGTTTCCCAGTTCCTATGCCATTCAGAAAACTGACAGAGAGACTTGGGTTAATTAAGGAACAAAGATTAAGAAAATGTCTTCCTGAGCTTGAATTATCTTAATTGCAAAAAGAATCTGTTTCTACATACAATTTTGTATTTAGATAACCCCATTTTACACAAGAGATTTTCATAAGTAAAAAATTCAAATGGATCAAATAATTGGTGAAGAGAAAAACCAGAGTAGCAGCAAGTGACCCTCTAAGTCTTTTTGAAGTTGAACTTTCTCCAAAGCCAGGGACTCTACTTTACTTGTAATATGCTTACCTCATTCTTAAATCTTTGCATATATCACTTAATTCCACTTTTAGACATATAGCTGATGTTCTGTCACCATGTGGTGGAGAATAATGCACATTTTCTAATTCAAGTTTTATGCTTTCATACTTACTTGCACTACAGTTGTCATATAACAGCTTCCGGAACACATTCTATATTGGTTTTGTACTGTTGTGTTTGTAACAACAGAAACACCATGATCTTTTTTTTTTCTTAAATCACAGGCTTCATTTCTTTGGAGCAAGTAAGTCACATATCTAAAAGGCTTTTTGAATCACTAAATTGAGGCATATGTCTGATGTTTACTTTCCAATTAGTGGTATTTTGGGATGTTTTTTTTTTTTCGGTCATTTGCCTAACAACCTATTTGTGTTCTTTTATTTCAACCATAACTACTTCTGGGTTTCTTGCCTTCGTACTTTCTGTATCATTATAAAATTTTTCCTTGTTTGGGTTAAAAACATGTTCAGTATCTGGTTTGTTGTCATTTTCACAGTCTATACTTTGTTTCCACTTAAATAAAGCTGGGGTGATTGGCAAGCATATTCTGGGGACCCAGAGTACGAATGAGATAGAAAGGCATTTTTGAGACTGGGTTATTTTTGTTCAGGAAATATCTGGACTACTACAGAGATAGACATGCCAGATGCATCACTTTCCTGACAATCAGGTGAATCATTTGTCAAATTAGAGGGTATTTTCTTAAGTTTGTTCTTCCTGTGGAGTTATTAGGTAGTTGCTCTTCCTCAATACAAGCAGTTTTGTAATTTTCACAAATTTCACCGAAACTCTGCTTTATTTGTGATGAATTTTAAAGTTCTCTTTACCCTAATTTGTCTTGTTTGATCCACATTTTCTCATACTTTTGCACACAAGTAAGTCCTGCATATATAAAGAGGTCATTTCTATCACAATACTTTTTCAACTAGTTGTTCAGACAATTTTTGCACATGCAAAAGTGGAAGATAAATTTGCTAGTTTTGTTTCTCAGATGTCTTTTCTGTCAGAGTACATGTTTTAAAAATAACTTTAAATAATCAAGTATAAAAAGAGAAAAATTAAAAAATAATTAAAGTTTAATATTAATCTTTTTAATCTATGTTTACCTACTCCCAAATCACTGGATTGTAACTAAGAAGTGAAAAATAATTTGCATTAACCTAAAATAGGTGCAAAAACATAAACCCTGAAACTTTAATTTGTCACTGTTTGTTTGGACTAAACTTGACTAATTCATTATGTGTTAAATTTCCCAAAAATGAATTAGGAGATGACTTGTGGTACTATAAAGGCACCATCACTTTAAAAGATTTTATCACTATACCTACAGTGTACACTCGAGTGCTTTTGCCAAAGATTACTAACTAGTGATCAGGCAAACTTTAAATTATTAGGAGCCAAAATCAACACCAGTCAGTAAGAAAAGCAAATTCTTACATTTTAATGCAAATTATATATTGTAATATGATTGACAGTGTTATATACTTATATAGATTACAGGCTTAAGTTCTAAGGTCTACTAATGACAGTGGATTTAATAAATTTAATAATATTTACAGATTTTCTATATTGAAATACATTAGGCAGTTATTGTTTGTACCCTAATACCAAAGGTGCCATTCTGCAAGGTATAATTCTCTTGATAGCCAGTTGGGTTGATTTAATGACCCATTCTCTCCCCGAATATAGCAACTGAAGTCAGAGATCCAAAGGGAAAATTAATTCTTAACTTTGGTATTAGTGACTGGCAATAAAAAAAACTGCAAAGTTTGAGCCACTAGCAATAATTACTCCTTTAATCTGAATCCAATACAGTTATCGTCACTGTTAAATTGTTTATAATTTCTATTGCTTAAAATTGTAATTCAATATTTGATGTTACCTTCTTTAATATAATAGGAAGCTATAAAAATAGAAGTGCAAACAATATCAGGAAGTTTTTAACTCAATTCCAAGGGTAAAGATTAGATATATGTTACTATCGATTCCAACACTAAGTTTTATAACTAGTTAAATGTTTTTAAAATGAAATATTAAATTATAATCAACTGATACTAAAAGGTTAATCCAAAGGTAAATTCATTTCAAATATGCTGTATTACCAAAGCAAGGAAAACAAGATTAAACCAGAAATTTGATTTTAAATTTTTACATACCCGTGGCTGGTTATTTTCATAGTCTTCAAGCCTCTTTTGCTCTCCCTCTGATACCATTTCTAAATCTTGTTCTGCTAAAAAAAAAAATAGATATTTAGTTAAAACGAGCTACACAGAACAGTTAGATAAAAGTCACAGTTGGCCGGGCGCGGTGGCTCATGCCTGTAATCCCAACACTTTGGGAGGCTGAGGCGGGCGGATCACGAGGTCAGGAGATCGAGACCATCCTGGCTAAAAAGGTGAAACCCCGTCTCTACTAAAAATACGAAAAATTAGCCGGGCGTGCTGGCGCGTGCCTGGAGTCCCAGCTGCTCGGGAGGCTGAGGCAGGAGAATGGCTGAACCCGGGAGGCGGAGCTTGCAGTGAGCCGAGATTTCGCCACCGCACCTCCAGCCTGGTGGGCAGAGCCAGACTCCGTCTAAAAAAAAAAAAAAAAAAAAATCCATAGTCTTTCAAAAACCAGAAAATAAAAGTGTTTAAACGAAGCTTAATCTTTAGTATAATATTTACTTCTTTAAGAAATGCTTTTAATCCTCCAAAACTTCAGCAAACTACTTGGGGAGGCACGGATGTCACCAGGTTCAAGCCATGCAAACATGGTCAAAGATTCACTCACAAATTTATCCACCCAACATCAATAAACAAAACCATCAGAAATAAAACAAAATGTAAAAATCCAATAGAAACAGATGAAGTAATAGCACACTGTTCTTTACTTCACAATAGTACCTTATAACAGCACATTGAGTCTGTTGTTCATTATTAATCATTTCCAAAATGATTGCTACTGTTTACACTTTTATCAACGTGCAGTCTCTTCTTTATATCTAAAATATTTTCCTCAACTATTCTGACACATTTCTTTCATAATTTAAGACTTAGCTACATGAAGTCTTCCTTGACTCTGGCCATCTTTCCTCAGATAAACGGTTTTATTTAATACAGGTTTTATAAAATATGTAGTTAAGGTTTCAAAAGCGAGATCATGTCTCAATAGAAGAGTGTATCTATTCCAATGTAAACATGTTGACTGATAACGAGAAAAATGATCCTTATAAAGAATAGCACATCATGAGCCTGAGAGAGTAAGTGTCAAAGCTGATGGGAGGATGCTATGGCCTATCTTTAATGCAATACATCAGATTCAATTATACCATTATACTACAAGCATTTATCATGTTCAACTATTTTTCCTATTATTTAGGGAGTACAAAGTTGTGAGGACACTTCCAATAAATATACAATTTATTTCTCATCAGAGAAACTGTTTGAAATTAATCAGCTTAGATAGACAGTTGTAGAATAAAAATTAATAAAACTATTCATTTTTTTTCATTCCTAGGTGGGCTACTGCTATGTCTGCATTGCTTGTATCCTGCAGTTTGGCCCTGTCAAGAAGTTTCTGAATTCACTCATACAAGAAGATATATAAACCACATCAACAATAGTGTATAGGCTGGGTGAGGTGGCTCGCACCTGTAATCCCAGCACTTTAGGAGGCTGAAGTGGGTGGATCACAAGGTCAGGAGTTCGAGACCAGCCTGACTAACATGGTGAAACCCCATCTCTACTAAAAATACAAAAATTAGCTGGGCATGATGTCATGTGCCTGTAATCCCAACTACTCAGGAGGCTGAGGCAGGAGAATCACTTGAACCTGGAAGGTGGAGGTTGCAGTGAGCCGAGATTGTAACATTGCACTCCAGGCTGGGAGACAGAGCAAGACTCTGTCTCAAAACAAACAAACAAACAAACAAACAAACAAAAAATTCCAAAACAACAACAAGAAAGTATATAATAAGCTTTCAATGTGAAAAATAATTGTCAAAAATGAAAAATTTCCATGGACATTAAGAACTTTTTGTACTTCAAAATCAGTGCAATGTTCACTGAATATATTGGTTTTGTTATTCAAAGAATGAATGCTATAACTTTTTGTTTCTCAAGTTGGTTTGATCTGATATACCATGCTAATCTCTAAGGCACATTCATGGAACCGTGATCTTATTTTAATATAAGGTTCTTAGTAAAATCAGTCAAAGTTCCTTAGTTCAAATAAATTTCATTTGATTAACTAATATCAACACTTCTATGTAACTGTCACAAATTATTCTCACCACTTCTTTCCTCTTTATTTAGCAGTAGTATCTTATATGTATAATTTCTATTTCCTAAATTTTTGTTACTTCCCCTCTGGCTAGAAACATGCTCAGAAATAATAGCAAAATGACACTGTTATGTTACAAACTGCTATCGGATGGCAAACAGGTATATGGAAAGGTGCTCAACATCACTGGTCATCACAGAAATGCAAATCAAAACCACAATGAGGTATCTTCTCACCTCAGTTAAAAAGGCTTTTATCCAAATGGCAGGCATTAAGAAATGCTGGTGAGGATGTGGAGAAAGGGGAACCCTCGTACACCATTGGTGGCATTGTGAATTAGTACAGTCACTATGGGGAACAGTATAGAGTCCGTAAAAAATTAAAAATACAACTACCTACATGATCCAGCAATCCCATTGCTAGGTAACCACTCAAAAGCAAGAAAATCAGTATTATAAAAGAGAAATCTGACCTGACATGTTTATTGCAGCACTTTTCACAATAGCCGTAATTTGGAATCAACATAAATGTACATCAACAGACAAATGGGTTTTAAAAATGTGATACACATACTGCTTAGTCATATGAAAGAATAAGATCCTCTCATTCGCAATGACATGGATGGAACTGGAGGACATTATGTCAAGTAAAATAATCCAGTCACAAAGGATATGAATAGACATTTCTCAAAAGAAGACATGCATACAGCCAACAGACACATGAAAAAATGCTTGTCATCACTGGCCATCAGAGAAATGCAAATCAAAACCACAATGAGATACCATCTCACACCAGTTAGAATGGCAATCAGGAATACTATGCAGCCATAAAAAAGATGAGTTCGTGTCCTTTTGTAGGACATGATCAGCTGGAACACATCATCTCCAGCAAACTATCACAAGAACAGAAAACCAAACACCGCATGTTCTCACTCATAGTGGGAATTGAACAATGAGAATCCTTGGACTCTGGA